GTGTAGATATCACTTAATAAAGAGTCTCACACACCTTCAATAAGACTACAGAGGAGTCCCACTCACCAGACAACCTAATATTTTTTGATGACACAGTGTTGATAGCGGACACAGAAAAGAAACTACAAGATCTCCTACAGATGATGGAAAAAGAAAGGAATAAACCAATTGCTAGAAGACTGAGTTCATGGTTATTAGCAAAAGGAACAGCTCAACATGCAAATTAGAAATTGGAGATACCAAAATCAATATCTTTGAAATGTTTTAATAGAGGACAAAAACTGGGATACGAATACTAAGAATACCATGGACCGAACATGTGAGCAACGAAGAAGTTTTAGAGAAAATGAAAACAAATCAAATGAGGAAAGAGGGCTTGGAAAAATTTATTCTCACAAGACAGAGTGAAGTCAAGAGTAACAGAAGAAAACAACGCATATCCTACCTAGCGAGAAAAATAGATAGCGGAACAACGTTTAATAAAGACAACAGAAAAACAAAATTTATTAAGAGTTACGAAAGAAAAGAAACTGTGGAGAGCCATGATCACCAACATCTTGATGCGGAAGAAAAACTCGTGACTTTTAAAAAGAGAAAAAAAAAAAAGAAAAATCAACATGTATACATCAATTTTATTTATTGGGATTCTTTTACTCTTCAGTGTAATTTCTTCAGTTGATATTTTCAAAATGTAAATCGTTGTATAGAAGCCACACCCTGCACTATATCGTCTGGAAAAGAGTTTGTACATGAAAAGATTGGTTTCTATTCCAAGTACTTTTGATTATTCTTCCGTCAAAATACTTGAAAGTAATGCCCTGACTTGCTAGGATAATTCTGAGTATATATTCAGAATCAGAGTACTTAATTTACTACTTAATTTAAATGGTAGAAAAATACCTTTTGTTTTCCAAATGTAATTGAAACAAGGTTTCTCCGAACATACCCAGCAAAAAAAAAAAAAAAGAAGAAACAAAAAAAGCACATAGTATATATTTGGGATCAAATTTGCTCCTGTATCAAAAACTTTATTGGACAGTGTAATGCATAACTTTACTAAAATTATATCAATACAAGTTTGTTGTCCGTTGTTTGTAGGAGGATAAACACGAACAAGTTATGGTTGGATAAGGTATTTCTTGTAAAATTTATTAAATTCTGAATGTACCCGCTCTATTAAGATAATTGGAGACTACTTGTTTTGCTTATAATTCGAGTAGTCTGTTGGTAAGAAAGAGATGGAGCGTTTAATTCCAGAATTATATATTGAAGATATAACCTCTTTCATTCTAATATGTACATCCATACACATCCATAGTGTGGCACAATTAGCAAGCCATAAGTGGAAAAGGATTTAAACTAATGTTACGCAACATGTTATTTACATCTTCATTTCTCTTTTAGATTTATTGAGAGCATTAATCTAGCAGTTTTATATCTGACGTAGGAAATGAAAAGGGCACATAGCACTCGTGGCACGTGATACCAACGACAACTTGAAGATAGCTAACTCTGAAACTTTGAAAGTGGCCAGGTACTTCGTGTTTAATTTCAAGAATGAACTGGATGCGGCTGGCGGTCGATGTGTCCCTCTTTAGCCAGATATGGCAAGGAAGGTAAATTTCGTCCATTATTTCAACACCAGAAAGTCAATGAAGGGAATGGCAGATTAGCTTAAAGTAGTAATGTTCACTATTAGATGCGTGGTGCACTAATATATTTGGTGTAAGTCTGAGAGTTTATGCCTGACAAGATTTTGGGAAGCACCATTTAATTTGATTTCTGAACAAACTCTAACAGTCGGTAGGAACCAGTATGCTCTGGTTCTTCGTCGATAAGAACTTCAATCAGAACAAGAAAATAAGCAGGAGAAACGACTTGTTTATATTCATAAAATCTTAAATTATAATAACAATTCAAATATAGGCTTACGGCCATATCACGTTGAAACACTAGTCCCGTATAATCATCAAAGTTACGCAAAGTTATGTCAAACCTGGTCACCAGCTAGATGGGTAACCGCTTGGTATTTCCAGGTTCTGTAAGGTTGAATATGCGTGTGATGTAACAGATAATAGCTCGGAATTATTAAGCGGTGAGCCGTGTTCTAATTCTAGTTGGGTTCGTTATATTCACTTACGTGCATATACCCTTAGAATATGTATGAATACGCTTCTCCCCCCTCTCGATGTATTAATTACTAATACTTGTATCACTAAATCGTTATTATCTCCCCACCCACGAAAGATTTTTACAATCGAAAACTATTTTCTGGCTTTAAACAACCTGCAAAGGTTGATAAGCCGTAAAATACGAATCAATCAATCATTCAAATATAATTGACTAAATGTTGTCCATTCAAGTACAATGATTGAATTGTGTAATAAACATGCCAGGTTCATTTGATAAAATGTTTTGATGTAAATCGATAAATAATTAATGTCTAAATGCTTGGAAAAATCTCTGGTGTTTGTTATTGCTCAAATAATAAACAATATGCCCCAAATAAAAATCCTTGTTAGGTAACAGATGAAACAATTTAAAAGTCAATTGCACAAGAAATTGTGTGGGAAATGCTAATGTCAGCAGACACAACCCGATCTGCAAGTATTCAGAGTATATCATCAATTCTCCTTTTTATGGATTAATTTTTAATAACTCAGATATATTTTGGCCTTTTTCTTTCTCATTTTCCTCCTTTCTTGTGTTTTTTCCATCTACTATTATAGCGATGATAAGGTCATAGTTTCAGTTGGCACTTGGACAGAATATGAGTATAACTGTATTGTGAATGCTCACACGAATATGATTTTAGTGTCTGTAACATCATTTTCAGATTAACAATCTGCTTATTTTATTACAATATATATGTTACTATCGTCATAGGTTTAAAGAAAGCTTAGAAATTGTTGATATTTTTTTATTTGGATTCGCTATTCCGTAAGGATCACCTATTAAATGTAATATTTAAAATATGTCCATTATTATTATTATTATTATTATTATTATTATTATTATTATTATTATTATTATTATTTCCTTTGATTTCTGGTGTGTACACATTTCTTTCTTAGTCCCAACCATAGACATAAAATCTGAAATGGCATTGAGCGGAAAACCCCCAAGATCACACATTTTACATAGATATGTTATTATTATTCAATTTGATATATATATATATGCATAAATATATATATATATATATATATATATATATATATATATATATATATATATATATATATATGTATGAGAGAGAGAGAGAGAGAGAGAGAGAGAGATGCATACATACATACATAGATAGATATATGGACATCGAAGTCAAATTCCAGCGGCGACAGTCTGTTTCATGCTTATACTCAGGTCATTTCGTTTAAACATGAAACAGACTAGCTAGCATTTGACTTCAATGTCCACTTTTATATTTACACAACGCTCTATCCCACATATTGAGCACTTTAATCCATAAATATAAAACTTCAAAACTATATATATATATATATATATATATATATATATATATATATATAGAGAGAGAGAGAGAGAGAGATATATATATATATATATATATATATATATATATATATGTGTGTGTGTGTGTGTGTGTTTGTGTTTTTTGAATTCAGATATCACTGCACAGTATTTACTGTTTTTCTTTCTCTCTTTAAATGCCCTGACACCAACACTAGATGAACTCGCCCCTTTCTCTTTGTAGTGCCTTCTCTGCTATCGATTTTCTCAAAATTATCTAATAATTTTCTGGCTGTTAATCTTTGCTTCCAATTTCTTCGATATGACCTGCGAGTATTAAATATGCTTAACTTTCTTTCCTCATAAATTGTTCCAAAAATTCCATCTCTTTCTTTGTGTAGGCATGCAACAGTTTTTTGTAGTTGCTTTTCTCCTCACCACTCCACACATTCTGTGGTATTTACAACAATCAGCGGGAGAACCACATTTCAATTACTACAAATTATTTCATCTACGATGAAGAGACAAGTGATTAGATATTATATAACATTTTATACCCAATATGCAAATCGCACATTTTTTTCCTGAAATGTGTGTATTTAATATATATTCTTTTTACAGCTACAGTTTCCCTTTTCTCATTCATATCTACGACTCTATTGTCTAATAGTCCTTTAAGTTTTCGTTCTGAATCTGCCATCGACAAAATGTCATCTGCGTGACATATGTTTACGTATACGTCTTCCGATAATAAATCTTGGTGTGTATTCTTCTCCTCTTAGGATCCTCTCGCTTTATAGCTTAAATAAATCCAGTCAGAAAACACATTCTTGTGCCGCACGTATAAACCTTTTGTTTCCAATAAAGGTTATAGATTATTTGAATATCTTTCCTATTTAGATCATGTTTTCATAACATTTAAAGAGGTTCTTTGTGCCATACTTTACCGAATGTATTTGAGCACTCTGTTTTCTTAAATCAGAATCTGAAACCAAATATATCAGAGATGTAGATATTCACATTCGTCAAAGAGACTATTTTATTAGTCTATTGAGACTACTCAAAACCTATAACAAAAATATTTTGAACCTATTTTACAGAATCAGATGATCAAGTGATTAATTATATGATGATTCTATTCTATTTATTTAACAAAGGTTTTTTTTAACAAAGCCTGTGCATAATATAATCTGAGTGTAGAACGGCTCTTAATTTAGAAAAGTGGCGTGCTTTGTGACTGAAGTAATCATGCATTTCTTAACGCCATAAGGGCTTAGTAATTGAATCCTGTTTATTATTTTAAGAGCAACGTGGTATGCAGGTGCTTCCCACTTGAAACGGTGACATGGTAGAAAATGGCGGCGATTTATTAGCCTTGTTTTTAAAGACATAGTCTGAATGTTTTAAACTGTAAAGAAAATTGAATAAGTTTAAAACAAATATTTTAGTTAGCTTCCAGTTTTTCCATTCTTTTACTAAAATTACCTATTTATGGACAATAATCAGTAAAATATAAATTATCTACCGTT